AATAGGCAACGATGAATTCATTTGCGAAATAACTCCCGGAGATGACATCAGATGATAAATTCATCGCACTCTCCAAATCAAAAGGAGAAGCTACTCTCGGTTTGGGACGATATGGCCTCGACTCTGACGATAAATTAACATGCGGGCTCAAAGTGGTCAGCAAAGAGTTCGAGGGTTCGGGAACTGTCAAACGAGATAGTGAAGTCGGCGTAGGGATAGTTCGCACACGTTAAAACGGGTCAGTACTTCATATTTATCGCGAAGCGATAGTCATGCGGCAGTGCTGTTATTTTACTCTACATAAATCCATGCACAGTGGAGCAATCAATAGGCCCATAATTTAGCCCAACTTTTTGTCGTCCCAGCGCGCAAGTTGCAACGCCCTCTAACACAATCGTGTGAAGAGATGTTAACCGATTCCCTGTGGTCACCTCACCTGTCACATTAAACACAGACGGATGTCCTGAAGTCAGGCGTGGCCCCATGCCTTAATGCACCGTTTGCATTGTTCCGCACAGCGTGCGCACAGCGTGTTCACAGCATGCGGTAGATCGGACAAGCGCCTGACGGCTTCCCACAGCGGCGTCAACTTTTGTTTTTAGTTGCGTAGGTGTGACCAGTTTCTGAAATGAAGATACACTCATATTCTCTGTGCAAGGATAGTTCATCAACGGTGAATCTCATATCCGACAAAATAGATTGCATATTTGTGAACTCACATGCCATTTTTAATGATCTAGCATAGCTCCGCGGAACTTGAGCAGAGTCCGCCTGACTTCATTCATCATAGTGCCAACATACGGTAACTCAAGATGTGCAGGTCACATCTGAGCACTCGTCATGGAAACTTTTGTTATGTGCCTACAAAAACTGCGCAGACCCCACCTTAGCTCAACCAAGCGACGCTGCTGTATCTACCGTGTCAAGCCACACTGACCTCAACCGAGCTATCCTCAGCTCACTACCACTACTTAGTAAATCATATGTCTCGCCAACATTCACCTTCCCCCATATTGTATGTATTCCGTTGCTGTACAATTGAGCGATAAAGATGAAGGTGTCGAAGGCATGAGTTACCTTTTAGTCAGTAAACGAACTCTTACAGTCTCGGTGTAGCCCTGCGAGGCTACACGTTTCATCTCCAGTGCCAGTTTGCTTGTGCGTACCTCTGAAGGCTAGGTCATTCAGGCCTCACTGATCCGAATTCGACTGGATATCCTACGCATAGGGTAACATTAGTGTTTCACCCGTTCTGACCAGGATTAGAAACATGTAGGACTTATCAAAACAGTATTCACACAAGTACACACGCAAATCCGCTTCACTTCATGTTGTTGGGAGGCTCTGAGTATTGCCGTACATGCCGACAAATTCCTCAGCCTTAAATCAGGGCGGGTGTTTTTAAAACGATGGCGTAAGGATCACGAAGGGTCGGCTGTTAATCCTCTTCATATAGGATCCAGCTATTTCTTAAGTGGTTCCTTAACCTGCGCATACTGGACTTGGTTGTAGTAAAGTAATCTGGGCTCAAACGTTTAGCCAGGATGCATGTGTGCGCTGTGACACATGTGTGCACATGTGACACTTCGACCGATGACGTCTGACGTGTCGGTCAGTAGGACGCATGTGCTTCCAATTACGTGCAGCCGGCCGAAGCTTGAAAGACTTTCAGACCAGCTTGATGGTGTCATATAGTTATCTGTCAACGGTAAGGATTAACAGGACTGCGTCATGTAGTACCCTGCTTGTATTACGTAGCCACTTGACTGAGATATGGTATTCATGTTGTAGTAATCACAATTACCCGTGAGCTGATGCATGTGCGGTTTCTGACACTGTTTATCCGGCTTTACTACCAACGACTTGAACGAGTATAGCCATAGCATGGAAAAATTCAATTTGGTGAGGTAGACGTTGAGGTTCTTATAAATATTCAAAGGTGCAAGTGTGACAGAACATACTTTAATAACACAGCCTCAGTCACTGACTGCATTGAAGAAGATAAAATCAGAGATTAGCATCTCAGCTGACTACTTCATAATGTAGCGGTTTAGGTCAGCTGCCTACTAAGTTTTGATGCGTCTCTGGTAGCGCGTGTTTCCCCCATCTGCTACCATCTCTCAGGCGTTAGGTCAAACACCAAGGCTCTACAGGTATTGCGGTTTCGCCTAGTGCTGTCAACCGTAACAAAGCCTGATGAACCCACTGGTGGGCTAGACAAAGTTGACTGGACCCCTGCTTTTACGGTCATCGACAGATAAATTTGCCGTTTCGCGGAATGGATAAAAAGATCGCAGGTGTTCCGGGTACCCCAAGGTTCACGTAGTCCGCGGGACACAAGATAGTTGCAATTAGTAGTGCCAACAAAATGCTGGCAGATCCTTTAAATCGGCTCGTCACCTTTTCAATGGAGCATCACGCTCACATAATCTGCCACGGAGCTTTTCGCTTTTGCTGAGCTTTTTGACATTTTCTTCAGTTAGACTATTTACAAGGTCACTAAGACTCTCGTTTGCTGAGCTTTGAAAATGGATTTTGAAATACTCAGCGTTTTGCGTGAGGTTATCAGAAGGCGTCTTCTAATTAGGAATCTTCGTCCAGATCGATAAACTGGGCTTCGACACTGTACAGCCAACAGGGTAAAGATTCGAGATTGTTTAATCGTGTGGCACTTGTATTCCTAATGCCATTTTTCAAGTTGTACTATTCGACATGTTTAGTGGTGTTGTTTTTGAACATCTACAGTTGATACAGTAAAATGCTGAAAATCTACCTACTCAGGTATATAGAGCTTATTTTGAATTGACGTGCATTCGTTGCTTTGAAATAAATGAGAATATCTGTAGCTCGGGGTGTGGATGCGGATTTTGAGCAGTTCTCCGAGCTGGATAATTATTTTGCAGACGTTTCGTTGCCTGACTAGGCAACATCATCAGTGCGGCTTCAGGGGCCTGGTTCGCAAAAGAAATCACCTAAGGAAGACGATGCTTGGATTGCAAACATATCCAAAAGAAGATTAACGGACGCGGAAAAAGCAGTCATTGTCCGAGGTATGCAACTCAATATTAAGGACTCCAATCCTATCGACTTCCTCGCTGCACTTGAATCGACGCTAAAATCGTACAACATCGCGCCTGAAGCACAACAAGAAGTCAGACACAGAATCATCCCGGCTCTCAGTCATAAAGCTGAAACCAACATATTCAACGCCACTGAACGGAGAGCTCTGGAGAATCTCAAGAAAGACAAGAGCATAGTTATACTGCCGGCCGACAAAGGACGTCTTACTGTTATAATGGACAAATCGGATTACATGATGAAGGCACAACACCTACTCAGTGACACCAACACATACCAGCCGATAAACGAAGACCCGACAAAACGCTTAGAAGGCAACATCAGACGCACTCTGCAAAAACTGGAACAAATGGGAAAAATCACAAAATTGGAACACAAGAGGATGCGACCACAAGACTCGGTACTACCGCGATTCTGTGGCTTACCTAAAGTACACAAAAGCGGAGTGCCGCTTCGCCCTATCGTGTCGTTACCTGGAGCACCAAATTACAGGCTTGCAAAGGAGCTCTGGAGACGGCTGAAACACTTAATCGCGGGATCGGAACACTCAATCAACTCGGCAGAACAGTTCCTTGAGAAACTTAAGACCGCAACCATTGAACAAGACGAAATAATGGTCTCTTTCGATGTTACCGCCTTGTTCACCTCCATCGATATTGGTTTGGCGAAACAAACAATGACGCGCCTGCTAGAGGAGCACATGTCGTCTGATACAAACAGTGGACTGGAACCCAAACAGATGATGGAGTTATTAGAATTCTGTTTAACAACACATTTCACTTTCAATGGCCAAGTTTACGAACAGATAAGAGGCACACCAATGGGATCGCCGATCTCTGGTCTAGTAGCCGAGGCAGTGATGCAGGCGCTGGAACAAATAGCACTCCCGATCGCGAGACCAAAACTTTGGGTACGATACGTAGACGACACCTTCGTCATCCTCAAACGTTCCAAATTGGAGGAAACACACGAACTAATTAACGGTGTGTTCGATGGCATCCAATTCACCAGGGAGGAAGAGGACAACGGGCAGCTACCATTCTTAGACGTTCTCATACGAAGGACTGGTGCTGAACGATTGGAAACAACAGTCTACCGAAAACCGACGCATACGGACCAGATCCTCAACTACGGCAGCAATCATCCGGCAGCCCACAAACGCAGCTGCGTGCAAACCTTTTTCAAAAGAGCACAAACCCACTGTAGCACACCGCAGCTGAGACGGGCAGAGGAAGATCATCTCTTCAATCTGTTCAAGCGGAACTCGTACCCAAAAGGCTTCATTCTACGCTGCCTCGCATCACAAAAGGTTACTCAACACACCTCGACAGATGTACCATCTGATAAGAGAACAACACTTCCCTATATCAGCGGTATCTCTGAAATGGCAGCGAGGCTTTTATTGCCTTTTGGAGTCAAAGTTGCACACCAGCCAACAGAAACAATTCGCAGTAAACTCTTCAAAGTAAAAGATAAACTTAGCAAAGAAGAAGAAACTGGTGTGATTTATAAGATCTGCTGCCGGAACTGCGACAAATACTACGTGGGACAGACTGGGAGGAAGCTTGGCACAAGGCTACACGAACACAGCCTAGCCATACGTCGCCACGACCAGAACTCCCTGATGTCAGTGCATATGGATGCTGAAAACCATCAATTCAACCTAGAGCACGCCAGTATCCTCGGAAGGGCTAAAAGCCGGCAAGCACGTGAATTCATTGAAGCCTGGCATTCAAAAGAGAACTCGATCAATAAGCACTTGGACATTGAAGTCGCTTACGAGACACTTCGAACCAGGCCCCTGAAGCCGCACTGATGATGTTGCCTAGTCAGCCAACGAAACGTCTGCAAAATAATTATCCAGCTCGGAGAACTGCTCAAAATTTGCATTCGTTGCATTACAACTGTATCACTAAACTAACCTTGTCTAACCGGTCAGATGAGAACATTATCTGTTTTCGAATGACGGAACCTTGAGTGATCACCACAGGTCCTGAGTCATCATCCGTAAGATGCTCTTGTGTGATGACCAAAAACGCGTCCACTACTCCATCGTACCCATGACATCGGTAATGACCAGCGTCCCTCTGGGTTGCGCTGTTTATGATCAGGATAAGACGTCCTTTGTCATCATGCATTGTATACACAGTAGTTGGAGTGCTCCTGATCGTGTCCTCCTCCGGCCTCCTCGCAGAAGGTGGACTGGCATGATCGACGGCTTGTTTCCACTTCAACGCGCCGCGTGAGTCTGGGTATGGACCTATCTCACGACTCGTGATCCCATCTTCCGATTCATAAGTCCATTTGTTGCCTCCGCAACAGATGAAGTGAAGGTCACTGTTTACCGGCGCGGTAACGTTGGCCGGACTTCCTAGCTGAAGGGCGGGAAACTCTCCTCTCGTGTCTGGATTACACGTCGCGCTCACAGTAGTCCACAGTCCAACAAAGGAAATAAGGCTGCAAAAACGAGCGCAAGTATTAAGAACAAGAAAACAGTAAGTTGCAGCGAGCAAAGGTTTAAAGTGATTGAAGAAGTATTGCACGTAGCTAAATTTAAAAGAAGGAACGCCACTGCATTTAAATACGCGACGGTGGGCTTAGTCAACTGATCGAAATAGCCTTAGCAAGTTTCGTAGCATCACGTTTCTTCCAACACACCACGTCTCAGATTCTGGACTTGATCTTAATGTTATCGGTAGTTTATGACCAGTTATACAGATCGAAAGTTATGAGACCAATCGAAGATAGGCGGACATTTCTGAACACATTCAAACATTTCAGTTAAGCCTCACAGTTACTGAGTATGGAACTGTATGATTTAAGTGGTGTGTCAACCGAGTTGAGTGTCTCTTAGACAGATACCGAAAGTTGGCGTGCGTCATGAACTCGGGACCAAACCTCATCGCATTACTCATGGCTGCACTAGGCGAACTGCGGTTGCTGAAGACAAATTCCACACCTCTTCATAGGAAGGAGGACAAATACAGCGATAACTTTGGAAAAACGACAAACTGCTAAAAATAGTAATAAGGAAGAGAAGTTCCGTTGAGTAAGCCCGTATAAGCAGCACAACAAAAGTAAAGTGGATGCAAATGTTTCAGTATGCTTCCGCGTGCTTGAAACCCATGTATTACTAGCGCTAGCGTTGCGTCGATTGCTCCCTTACGGGGTCTTTGAGATAAGTACGTCCGCGAAGGCTCAAGGCAAATCAAACGGGCATGCAGAGTGCAATCAATTAGTACTCAAGACCTAGATGAATCCATGGTCACTAAGAAATTTCATTTATCTGCCTGAGTTGTATGTGCGTCCAGGATCCTTCATTCTCAAGGAATATGGTTGGCAGCAAGTCCCTGGTGACTACGCAGTCATTGGGTGGACGAGGGTTTTTACTCATATGGAAGCATATCAAACAATACAGACAAGAAAACCGGCTATGCCGCACCACGGTATGTGGCCTTTTCCATTCTCTTGATTTTTGCTTTCAAAAGCAAATATAATGGGAGCCGGCAGGTCTCCATATCGTTTAGTCAACGACGCCATAAATCTTATAAGAGAGCACGGCATGCGGATGCTTGTTTGCTATGCTTTCGAAAGTCGACTACAGGGGTAATCACCAAAATGTCAAGTTTGCCATTTGCCAGTAATCAGTGAGACGTTCGCACAGGATGAGCTGACTCGCATCACAAGTGATCGCTTATCCATTCAAACAACCGTCACTCACCGTGGCGAGTCCGTTAGAGTGCGCGCGATGCCGTAAAATCCAAACAGAATTTAACCAAACACACATAGCTCTTCTGTAAAGCTTTGCTGACCACATGGCCGAATTTGACTGGGTGAACCCACATCTGAACTCATTCGAATGGTCTTTTCGAAGTACTTGTTATGTGAACGGATCGTGATAAGCAGTATCAAGGTGGACCACGGTCATGGACCTCGGTCACTTCGACCACTGGGACCGTGCATAGAGTACATGAATGTTAAGGGTTAATCGCTTGAGACACTACACTACACTTCATGACTGTTTATATGCACTCGTTCCACACAACTGAAATCTCAAAATAACACGCCTTTAGCCACTAACCATTGTGACAAGCACCGCCAACCACGGTTTGGTGGCTATGTGTTAGAGGCTTCTGCTGACATCACGAAGGTCCCAGGTGTCGTGTAGCCCTCTAAGAGTCAAAACGAAGTCTGGACAAGGACCACAACCAATTATCTCAAAAGCAAAGCATCGTTTATACTGTACATAGGTGGGGGCACCGTTTTGTCGTGGCGTCTTCACATTGGTCCGTTCCCTATTTTTGCGTCTTCCGCGGTCTGTCTGCTTACCTCGTCTTGTACACCGTCTGCGTTGGTAATATCGAGCCATGCTCGATCGCGTCCGCTTTATTTTGCCTGTCATGCCGGCGTGAACGCTCTGCCGCAGACAGCTGTTCCAGACAATACGCTTCGCCGATGTTAGTGCCAACGCTGTGCTTTGTTCCTTCCAGGCTGATCCCATTCTGATTCCCCACTGTCTCGTCCATATGGGATCCGTCTGCGTCGGCAGCGACTGATTGGCCTCCTGCAGCCTATCGGTCAGTTTCGTTCAAACGATCGGCTATTCGCCCATCAGGTTCGAGCCGCGGTTCCGTCATCTTTATGTGGCGAATGCAGCTAAGTAAGCGACCGGTTGTCGCAAGCAGGCAACGCACAAATGTTATGTTCCGCCTACCGAGCTAGTAGTCTCGTTCGGTGCAATCCACTGAATAAGTCATGCATGCAGTATAAGTGGTTCCGGTGAGGAAAGTCGCTAGAAAACCTGTTCACTTCACTGCTCAACTGATACCGCCGATTTGCCACTCCCAGTGTAGTAATTGAGACAACCAGGTTGGTTGCCAGTTGCAATAGCAAAGGAAACTACTGTTCGGATAAGTCAGAATGAAGGTGACAAGTTTAAGTGTAACCAAGTGGCAGGTGCACTAATCGGCTGAGTCAAATTTGAGAAGGGGAGCACAGCAGCTTAATTTGTATGAAACAAATGGAGAGCAATAGAATAACCCAAATTTGCTACAGAAGCATAGAACGCTAATAGAAACGCAAGTCAACCAATTCTTTCACTAATGCCTTGCTGGAAAAAGGAAACATTTACATGTTTACTGCAGCCTAGTGCAAAGGTTGAGTTTAGAAGGATGAGAGTGCTAAAGCGTTGTCAAGTGTTTCGGGGGACTGACTGTACGATGCGAGCAACTCCCCGGCAAGGGGGCATCGGCTATACGACTACGGTTATTCCCGTCTGTATCGTTAAACCAAGCATGCCGATCATCAGCGCACAAATATTTTTATGGTATTTTCAACCTAATGTCTACCAGTGACAGCGGCAATATTAATGACTAATACGTTTCAACCTGTTTGAAACGGCACGTTATCAGCCTTTAGCCAGGCAACAACCTTCCACACTGATCGCGCATCAACAGTTGAAATACCAGATTTTTGAAATTGGCGAATTTCCCGTTTCTTTATTACCATTCGGGTTGACGTTAGTAATTCTTGGCGGGGTTACCGCAGTCTTATAAAACGTTATTAGCTAATCAGGAAACTTGCATTATTGGTCACTGCATGCATAGTTCAGCTGTGGATTAACGCTATTGGTTCAGGTCCGCTTTTCGATTTCGCGATTGCTTCTTGTATAAAGAGACAGCAAAGGATCTCGCGGAAATTCGTGATCTATTGCTGTATGAGACAGTTTTGACGGATGAAGCACGATGCTATCAGCATATCCGCACTTTAAAATTGCGATGACAGATGCCACAATTCAGTCATAGTATTAATCTAGTACTTCTTATGATGGAATGAGTAACAAACGTGAGGCAGTTTGTTGCCTCACCTTGGATTAATTAAAGGTTGTGTGCGAACCCCAAAATGTTTTCTGTTTCCGCTGCGTCGCAAGATACAAACTGGAGCATAAAACACTCGACGCGATTTTGGCTCTCTTGTAGTTTGCCAACTGCCCTTCTCCGGAGTTGGGTGTGCCAAATGCGTCTGTAAGATTCCTACCGTCTCATGGCATTTTGTGGGTTGGTTAAATGTACTCCGACCAAGCAGCTGGTGTCTATTAACTTAAAACTTAGCACTGATAACCCAAGTAGCTTTGTCAGGAATCATTTTTCCCGCAGCAACGTAAGGCGAATGGAGCCGGAGGAAGATCACGCCCTGGAGGTCGACGCTTCCATGCTAAGTTTTATGACAACTCGGTGCTCCTGTGTGGCATGTTTTAGCAGGGTAACTAGTGAATATCGAGTAGTATATCCCTGAGGAGGAGCCTAAGATGTTAGTCCGTTTGGATGCCTGTTAACCGTGTGATATAGTGCGGTGACTATGATTATGACGGAACGTTGAGCCAGATTCATTTAATTTCTGTGGCGCATTTCAGGGATATGGCCGATTCAAGTTATTTATTAAATTAATGACTGCTATTCCCCATAGGTTGGTAACGGTGAGCAGCAGCAGCAGCAGCCGCAGCAGCAGCAGCAGCCACAGCAGCAGCAGCAGCCACAGCAGCAGCAGCAGCCACAGCAGCAGCAGCAGCCACAGCAGCAGCAGCAGCAGCAGCAGCAGCAGCAGCAGCAGCAGCAGCAGCAGCAGCAGCAGCAGCAGCAGCAGCAGCAGCAGCAGCAGCAGCAGCAGCAGCAGCAGCAGCAGCAGCAGCAGCAGCAGCAGCAGCAGCAGCAGCAGCAGCAGCAGCAGCAGCAGCAGCAGCAGCAGCAGCAGCAGCAGCAGCAGCAGCAGCAGCAGCAGCAGCAGCAGCAGCAGCAGCAGCAGCAGCAGCAGCAGCAGCAGCAGCAGCAGCAGCAGCAGCAGCAGCAGCAGCAGCAGCAGCAGCAGCAGCAGCAGCAGCAGCAGCAGCAGCAGCAGCAGCAGCAGCAGCGGCAGCAGGAACGGCAGCAGCAGCATCTTTCTCCTCCTCCTCCCATAACGTTATCTTCATCATCATCATCATCAGCAGCATCATCATCAACAACAACAACCGTAGATTTCCTTCATTATGTTGAAGTGATGTGTCCTCACCATCCAATCATATTGGACTAGAGGATGAAAAGAGTACGATGGAAAGAAACCAGACCTAGTGTAGTATGTCAATAACCTAAAACGCAATTAGCGTCAGGACGTTTACACTGTACCAACAACATACGCACACAAGCTAGTTGTCGTACAAAGGTTGCCTCGATTAGACGGTTGCTTGGCGGCGTCCAGTTTACCACGTCATGGGCATCCATCAATGCAAATAACTCAGTAGTAGACACGTTTCGAACGGATAGTCAAACTAAGAGATGCCCACGATGGCGTCACAAAGGCCGGTTCCGACCCAAATTAGGAAAGATTTGAGTTAGTCACAAGCAGGGTCGCGTACACTCCAGTCTGGAAGTCGAGATTGACCAGTAGTACCCAGTTTAATATACAGCTACTTCACTTTCCACCAATAAGCCGTACTTTGCTATTCCCTTTGGCCTTGCGCGATCGTCCATCCGTTAAACTAAACGAGGCTATGCTCTATAAGTGTTGACCGGGCATACGTAGCACAGGCGCAGGCAAACACGACTTATTCCATAATATTTGCTGTCCCAAAGAATCTACTGCAATGGCACCACCCAGTACTTGCGTGCACATCCCAATGTTGCTTAATAGCTGATGTCGTCCGGTACCAGCAATGCTCCGCATACAACAGTTATCAATAGCTAGAACATGTTCCAAGTCAAATAGAAAATAACTAGCTTCACTGTGACATAGTATACGTAAAAGAAACCATCATTTAAATAGCCTAGAAGGATGAAAAAAACCAGTCTATAAATGTAAACTGATTGTCGGTGTAAAATAACTCTTGTTACTAATCGAAACTGAGGTTTTACGACCGAATATTTATACGCTGGAGAAAGTTTATTCAGCCATAACTACCGAGACTTGTGGAGACTTTCAAAGCAGCTGTTTGGTAAAACTTCCAGTGAGCAGCATGTTTCTGTGGATGTAAAGAAACTCAGGGAGCACTATCCTCCACTTCATTCCTATGTTTTTGTTCTCTGGCTTTGGTCCAAAAATTACATCTAGACCTTGTATTCTACCGAGAACTCAGGAAGATCAAAGCAAAGAAGGCTAGTGGATCCCGTGCTCGTTCACTAATTGTATTGAAAGTGTGTGAACTCATCACGCCTTTAACAGCTTATTTTAATCGATGTCTACATGTGGATTTATTCACGACGCGTAGAAGTCTGTCAGGATAGCGCACGCCCGACGAAGTCATCCATGAAATCCCGTCCGACCGCACGTTTGTCCATCATGCTGAATGTCTTGGATCGACTAGTCGTACCTTGGATCTTAGCAAGCATTCCACTTGGTTAACTAGCCGTATTGCAATTATAACCGACAGTGACGAACGTAAATTTTTGCTCAGGGGTGAGCAATCCAGTTTTACTTGCTTTGCGTATCAACCAAAACACTTTTTATTTGTTTTCGTCTGTATTATTTTACTCTAATAATCAGCCCTCTTAACACAATTACTCTATCGCTTTGTCTATGGGTATTTATTTGGCCCACTTATGTAACATTGAAATATCAATTGATTCTATCGCCAACCTACGAAACATGTTAAGCCTGTGCACATCTACCCGTTATAAACCATTGTTCCATTTTATCTGCTTGCCTACAGACCGCGACATTCCACAGTGAATGCTGTAGCGTGCCTTATTTACTCAGTGGCACCTGCTTTCGATGTGAAATGGAAGCGTTTGCCGTTTCTATTCCTTGATTGCTCCAATGCTTTTGGAAGTGTCAATGAACAATGAACAATGATTTATTACGGGAGCAAAAAACATGTGCTTGACAAGTTCCGTAGGATGATTGGAGTAAAATTTAAATAACTTAAAGGATCAAATAGTATAAAGTGCCGTTATAGTTCAGCAAATGCGTGCGAAAGAAAAAGGAAACGACAACGCTCACACGTGTGTTGCCTCATTTAACAGATGTGGAATGTTAATCTAGTTTAGATACATCCAGGCTAATCACATGGACACTTCTTCATGTATCCTCACCGCCACGTTGCGGAGATGGCCGTTAAGAACATGGTTAGGTTTGAGTTATTTCGTCCTCCAAGTGAAACAAACTCCATCAAATAACGCAAGTTGGAAAGTGTGTCATCAAGGCGTTTTTGAATAGCGTTAATGTAGTGGATGGATGAGGTGAGTCGGAAGGATGTTCCAGGGACGGGACACACGGACAGAGAAAACGTTTCGTCGACAGTCAAGTCGACTGTAGTGCGTAGCCAGTTTGAACTGATGGCCTCTCAGGTTGGTATTTTGGCTCAGCTGCAACAGATTGCAGCATGGGTGAATTGGGTTCGTCAGTATTAAGTAAACCATGACGATGTCTCTCCTCGTTGACGTCCATATTCACAACTGTACAATGTCAGTTGGTTGGTTACTCCACTATCAGTCCGCCGCTTCAATTCCACGATAGGAGACTTCAGGTTCTCACCTTCCGACATATCCAAATCGAGAAGAATATGGATCTTTAGACCCCTTAGCCTATCGAGGCGGGATAGTATCAGCCTCAGACTTGTTGCATCAACAAAGGTGACTCGCAGAGGCCGGAATTTCCCCTCCTCTCTCTTTCCAATACGGGCCATTTGCTTCACCCGCAACCCCTATACATCCACGTTGAGAAACCTGTCAATCTGGTTCTGCAGGAGATCCACGTCGTGTTCATAACAAGCCTGAGGACTAGCACCTGTCGACTCATGCGCATGAAATATCATAAGGTTATAAAGCCGCTGATTGCTGGCAGTTGTACATTCTATTTTGCTTCGTTGCATTCTCCGTTGGCCTTCAACGCCTGCGCTACCGCACACCGGTATGTTAGCGTCCGTAGGACGCAGCGCAGGCACACCAGCTGAGTCTCCAGCAACGGGTGAACATCACACTGGAGTGCCTGCAGCCGGTGTGTAGGTGGGCTCGTTCGAACGTAGAGGTGACTGAGTTTCCGCTTGTTTGGATTAACCCACCCAGCTCCTCCCTATGGAACGTTTCGCCCGCCTTGTGGGCTTGCGTGGCTTCTTGGCTGTTTGTGATTGCACAGATATGCCAGCTGAGGTTACAGCAACGGGTGGACATCGCTCTGGAGAGCCTACAGCCGGTGGGCAGGTGGGCTTGTTCGAACATAGAGGTGGCCGCGTTTCTGCTTGTTTTGATCAACGAACAACGAACAATGATTTAGCACGGGCGAACAAAGCATGAGCCTGACAAGTCCCGTAGGATGGTTGGAGTAAAAAATAACCTTTGAAGGGCCATCGAATAAATAACTCGTTATTTCAAACGTCCACCGAGTTAAATGCACTACTGTGTAACGATAGTTTGAAGTGGGAATGGGATGTGCACAGATAATAGTACAACGTGCCGTTATAGTTCAGCAAATGCGTGAGAAAGAAGAAAGGAAACGACAACGCTCACACATGTGTTGCTTCATTTGACAGATATGGTATGTTAATCCAGTTTAGATACATCCAGGCTACCCGCATGGACAGTTCTACATGTATCCTCACCGCCACGTTGCGGAGAGGGCCGTTACGTACATGATTAGGCTTGCGCTATTTCGTCCTCCAAGTGGAATGGACTATATCAAGTAATGCAGGTTAGAAAGCGTTTCGTCAAGGCGTTTTCTGAATAGCGTTAATGTAGGGGCAAGGATAACTTGAGTCGGAAGAGCATTCCAGGCACAGGACACACGGAGGGAGAAAACATTTCGTCGACAGTCAACTCGACTGTAGTGTGTATCCAGTTTGAACTGATGGCATCTCAGGTTGGTATCTCGGCTCAGCTGCAACAGATTGCGATATGGTTGAGTTGGGTTCGTCAGTATTAAGTAAACCATGATAGGTCTCCTCGCTGACGTCGATATGCACCACTGTACGATCTCAGGGACTGCAGTCTGCGTTGGTAAGAGAGCAGAAACAATTTTCTAACGAGTTTGGTCGCTCTAGGTTGTTGAGCTTCAACTGCATCGAGGTCGCGCTTGCGCCAGGGACGCCAGGCCTCGATCGCATATCCCACGTGAGGTCTCACTTGGGCCTTCAGCATCTGCATGTCCACAGGTCAAATCCACTTTATCAAATTTCTACGAATGGTGTTCAACAAGCAGTGTACAAGCTGATGAGCAAATGCTTCATAAACCAATCTCATTGTAACCAACTAGACGGTAAAATATCTCCTACTTTTTTATGGCTGGGACATTTTACAAGTAGCAATCCTCTTCCCTTCTATTCTCTTCGTACATCGAGGTGCTCTCAGTCCCTCCTAAAATTACTGGGTGTAAGTGCGCTGACGACGTAGTCTTAGGTAGCATTATTCCAACTGTTGAATCATCAACCACTTTCCTTATCGGGTTGGATGAGCTTAAGCAATTGTTTTATTCCGATCCCGTATTCTCAACGCTTGCAAATAGCACGATGTAACTTTCTTTCGCACCGAAAAACTTCTGACTTTGGTAACTTTTCTCACCCCGTCGTCGTAAGCAATCACATATCCAGTTCACCCACCGTTAAGTACTTTTGTGCATATTTATCTCATAATTCATCTTGGTTAACACACGTTGACGAAATTTTCCGCAAGGTGTGGAAATTATCCTTTTATGCTGCCGCTCAAAATTATTGCTTTATCCCGCTCTGAAATTTATATATTCGTGACTGCTTGTATTCTTCCCCACTGGTTATATTTCTCACCTGTCATTTTCCTGGTCTTCTACAAAATGTCGCAAATTTAGTATACATTCGGTTAATTTCATTTCCAAGTGTAGTGAATTGCTCAGAGGGTCTGTTTGACGCCATTTTTACCAAATATTTTGGTACTTGACAACTTATTATTGAAGGTTTTAAGTGACAGTTTTCGCGCACTGCAGACTAATTTATCAAAAGCTGTCTCCTGTTCATCTACTCAGTCAAAATCT